ACCCAAACGATGCTTCTGTTCTTTGTTGGCCACCCGATTTCTCTGTATTATCAATGATGTCGTTGAAGTCTCCAGTCAGGAACCAAGGCTTATCTCGTAGATTGCCCAGGTTTGACAACTCTTCCCAAACTTCTTTCCTCAAGGAGTGGTCTGGTTCACCGTATATAAAGGTAGCGTAGAAGAGGTTTCCTTTATATAATATGGATGTATCAATGTAGGATTTGCATGATGAGATGACTTGAACCGGGATCTCTTGTTTCCAGTAGAGTGCGAGTCCACCGCTTCCCGGACTGTTTGGTGGTACAAACAGCATGGACCCATAATCTGTGAGTGGGATCAGCCTGAGAATCTCGTCTTCGTTGTTCTTCGTCTCCATAAGGAAAATTATGTCAGGTGAGTGGCTCTTTACCAACTCATTGAGTCTGTGAACTGTTGAGGGATTTCCCAAACCGCAACAGTTCCAACTCAAAAATTTTAAGGAAGAGGATCTCGCAGATTGTGAAAATCCGCTTTATCTTTCCTCACTGCTTTTCTGATTGCCGGGACGATGGTGGTAGATGGTGGCGGTAGGGATCGCGGTGGTGTCGGTCCTGTTGATCCTCTTTGGAGGGTTACTCTGCTTCGTCGAGTGCCATGGTTGTGGGTTACTGGAGAGGCACGGTTCTGTATGGTCCTCGACAGTGGTGAAATTCGTAAGAACGGTGAGATTCTGCCTTGTTTCACTTTCCTTTTACTTGGCCCCGCCTCTGAGGGATGAGCGGTCTGGGTTGGTTTCTTTGTAGGTGGTCGGCCCCGTGGCCTCCGTGGTTGCTCTTGTGTTTGTATAGGTCGCTGAACGACTGCTAATTCATCTTCCCCTTCTCGTGAGCAGATCAGGTCTTGTTCTCTCTGGTTCAAAACGGGAGCTGTTTGTTGGGATAGTTGAGCTGTGTACATGGATCTCGCCGTATCTGCCATAAGGCCTCTAGTTTCACCTTCTAGGATTCGCTGCATTCGAGCTGCTCTTTCTAATGGATCCTCGACATTAGCATACTGCACTGTGACTTCTTGGAGAGACGACATGATTTCGGATTCTGAGCGTATACGGTGGGGTGGTGTGAAGGCTTCTAGATCCAGGTTTCGACCGGTTATCTGAATAGGTAGTAGAGAAGTGGAGGCGTCCTCGTGGTCCACTAGACTTGGTGGTTTTTCTCTCCAGACCTGGCGAGTCGGTGTGTTCAGATGATTTAGTCTCCGTGCCCCTTCTAGGTGGTCCCCGGCTTGGTTTACTCTGTTCGCGATTTGGTCTTGATGGTGGTGCTGAGAAGTGGGGTCCAGATGGTTTCTGGTGTAGGTTGGCGAAGTAGTTGGTGTTTGCCGTTGTCTTGTTTGTAGCGGTTGAGCGGTGTGGTTCCTGGAGCGGTCGTGCTCGGTGGGTCGTTCTTTTTCACTCCTGTTTGAAGACGGTCTATCCCCAAACGGTCTTCCGTGTCGATCTCGACGGAGGTTGAAAGGGCGCTGTTCCGTCGCCTGCCCTGGTTTAGAGGTAAAGGGTCTATCTCTCTCAGTAGATCTAGTAGAGCTTTCTTTTTGGGGGCCTTGTAGCGGTTTCTCTTGGCACTGTTCCACTTCGTGGCTTAGACTGTAGCAGTAGGAGCAGTGTTTGCCTAGATTTTCATACTCAAACACGACTAGGGCTTCTTGACCTCCTTCAAATTCGATTATAGCATCTTTTACCAGAGGTTGTAGACCATTGACTTCGACTTTGATTTTCGCCGTGAGGTTAGTGAGTATTTGTTCCTTGTAGTCTCCTATCTCTTTGCCTATGTCACATAATAGCTCTTTCTTCCAGTAATGTAGAGGGATGCCTTTGAGTTGGATCCAGAAGGGTATTTGGGACGGGAAGGTGGGAGAAATGATTGGCTCCCACTTTTGGAGGATGAGCATCCATTTTGCGTACTGATAGGGTCTGTTGTTGAGGACTTTCTGCAGATCGTCTGCATAGTCGAATCTGAACTGGAAACAGTGGTTTCTCAGGTCGGATCCGACCGCTCTTCCTCGGAGCTCCCACCGGCTAGAGATGTAAGGGATCATCGTCCACATTTTTTGTTCTTGGGGGTTGGTGAGGCGTCCGATAAGTGTGAGAGAGTTTTGATGGACCAGATCCGTTTTATCCATCTCCGGAGCTCTGATGCGTTTTCGTTGTGGTGGTGCCATAGCGAGGTCGAGAGCCTTCCCTTTCTCCGCGTAGGAGAAACGTCTTGCCATGTTGCTTCGAAGAACGATGTAGGCGGCGATAGGTGTCGTTGACAAAGCAGATTTTGAGATGCGTAGAAGAAGTTGTCTCCGGTTTTTAGCTCGCTTGAAATGTGCCGGAACGTGTGAGGCAAGAGCGGAGAATCTGAGACGTTTGAGAAGAAAGGAGTGAAACTTACCGCCGGTAGGAAGGACCCTCCGACCCGTAGGTGGGGGCGGAACCGCGGTGAGGCTAGCTCAGAAGCTAAAAACGTTTGAAAAACTTTCTACTTTGGGTAAAAGCGTGGGATACGAGGGAAGAAAGTGACTTGACTACACAGCTGAGCGCCGAACCTCGGGAGATGTGCCTGGGAGCGTTTTGAAGTCAAATTTGTACTCTTCGTTGCATATATCTGAATTATTTATAGCCATATTATCCTACCGATTTCAAACATACATTTTGATGGGATTTTCAATACTTTAAATGTCTTTATCCAACGCATATAATTATTATAATCTGATTTTGTATATAAAATAATGAAATAAATCTACTACATGAAATTTATAAGAACATTTTCCAGAATTTGATACATCAGTGGAGAGGTGTGGCCATATCTAATATCAAAGAAAATCGATGATTGGATTATGAGTTATGTATGTTTCATAAGTTTTTCCTTTTATATAGTTTGGATCAATAGACACTGTTACCTTTAAATTACTTAAGATCTAAAGACTGTCAACCTCCTTGGTTTATTTGGCCGTCTTTACTTTTTGTTACAAGGTTAATCTCTCTCCAGTTAATACATAAATTAGAAAATTGTTCTCGAACTTATGAATCTTAAGGGGTGTCAAACTGGTCCAAGAAGGCAAAATGTTTCTTTCACGGAAAGGTACAAAAACATTGATTATCAGTAAAACAATTGGAATAGTGGAATGTTTGTTTAATTGAAAGGTGAAAATTCAGAAAACTTTGGTCATCCATAAAAATGTATAATACAATTTTGATGCTATTCGATGTCTCTGCGAGCAATATAACGCCTCATGACATAGACACAGAAATTTTATTTTATTTTCGTCATTGTGGTTGTTGGACAATAATTTTTTTTTCTATCATTTCTCCTTTTCACCACTTCATGTCTTCTTCACATTACTGAAGAATATTAGTTTTTGAAATATTGTTTCCAAAATTTATTTTTGCTGATTTTTGGATTTTTTTACTTTTTAATCTTTAACTAGGGTTTGACCCGTGCCCTGCACGATGTGATGATTTCTGAATTTTTATTTATTTATAATCATATAATGTAAATATAACTATTTTGAAATTTCATACGACATACTCCATCCGTTTCAAATTAGTTGTCGTTTTGATAAAATATATTTGCAATTATTTGAATGTATCTGGATATATTTTGAGTTTAATATATCCAAATAATTGCAGATATATTTTGTCAAAACGACAACTAATCTGAAACGGAGAGAGTATTTTTTTTACCTTGGTTAGGTTCTTGTCTTGGTTTATAGTGTGAAAATTAAACAGTTTAAACCATTTTCAAAAAAGTTAAACAAATTAAAGCGTTGATCATAGCAATAGATTAAATATGATAGACTTAGGTGATATACATAAAACTCAAATGATTACAATATAATAAAAAAATTCAAGGAACAAAAAATGAAAATAAAATACTATTCTTTAAAAAAAAAAGGTATAAATCATGTATTTCATAAGATAAGCAGCTATAGATGTATGCACATGGATTATAACTAACTTTAAAACAGTTAGACCAATAAGAAAACAATATGCAGAATCCAAATTGTCAAAATCAACAAAAATATAATTAGTTTTATATTGAAAGTGAAACAGATAGAGCAATATTCAATTTTTTTTATCAAAATAAAATATTTATAAGAAGAACTTTTTTATTTGATTTAATTATACAGTTTAATTAAAATTTCATATTAAATCGTAGAAAAACCATTTTACATTTGGAATATTACTCTCCTATGTCACATGGTTGCACATCATCTTTTTATGGGAATTTTAAGATATTTAGTGAATATACTATTTTTAAAAATTCAAATTATAGTATATAAAGAAAAAATTTTAGATATTCTTTATTAAATTTCTTATATTGTGATTCAAATTATTTTATAAAATAAAGGTGAACAAAGATGACAAGAGATATGTAATGAATTAAAAAAAAATTATTATGATATAATTAAACTGAAACTCATATTTTTTTTATTTAATAATTTTCGTAATTGCCAATTAAGGAAATAGAATGATAATTTTTTTTATTAATAACTACATACTATATATGATTAATTTAATGATACAGATTTGATTCTTTAACCAAAAATATGAATGACAATATTTGTAATTATTAATATCTTTATATAGATATTTAATATATTAAAAAAATGTACATTTTCAAAAAATGATGAAAATAATATAAATTGATATCTGTTTATAAAAAATCAGATTAGAGTTTGTGTAAAAGAAAATGTACATTTTTAATATATGAATTATGTGGTAATTTATTTATTTTTATAAAATTTAGTCCAATCAAGAAATGAGAAAAAATATAGTATTTAAGAAAACAATTAATTTGATTTATTTGATAAGACAAGGAAAGAATAAAAATATCTTTATGATTAAATGCTCAAATTTGTATAAATAATTGATATAAATTATTCTCTAACCAAATTAATACAATGACATATTATGTAAATAGTCTAGTAAAGAAAGACTTGTTTTAAAAAAACTATGAGAATGTGGCAATGCTGACACCTCAGCAAGTCTGCTCTTTTAATATATAAGAGATTATTTTGAAATAAAATTTTTGTTGATTTTTTGGCTTTACACATCAGCATTAAAGAGGGTGACATCGGTTTTGACACGGCATTATTTTTTAGAATGCCACATGTCTTTCCACGAGAGCATGTTGTAGAAGGTGACATGTGTCTAACATTAAAGTAAATAGACAATTTGATTGTTTTTTTTAGTTTTTTTGAGTTCTTGAGGTTTCTATCTTCATAGCTCGGCTCAATAACCACCAATTTGGTTACCTTTAAACACATAAATATCTAAAAATTGTGAACCATCTTGATTTACTCAACTGCCTTAATCTCTTGTTACAAAGCTATATCCTCTCAAGTCAATAT